CAGAGCACACAAGGCTTTGAAGATTTCGGTTCCGCTTTCATACACTAAAAATTGTCCACAAGAGGCATTTTAACAAACAAGTCAAATCTTATTAAGCGCCCTTCCCCTGCCATAGCCATTAAAAAACATAACAGAAAAACACACCCTTAAGATCATAAGACCCAACTAGGCCCTTCTTATACATACAGTACATACATATATATAATATATATATAAAATATACAGCTTACAGTTTTGTAGTCCTATTACAGTTAAAGCAGACTGAAAGGAGTGAGACTTTGTTTAGGAGCTCAGATCAACAAACAAGACATCTCAAAACCCCAGCGGGAGACAGCAGATTCTAGAGGCCTCTTCAAAGAGCACGAACTGTCTCTGCAGGAAGCTGAAGGTCCTGCGCGTGGAACGATGCCCTGTAGGAATCGGGAGCCAAATTACAGCAGTGCTCTGTACCGAACCGCGGCAGAACTAACTTGCAAGTGATCAAAACTGGAATCTGTCCACTGTCCTCTGCAGCAGACCAGCAGGACCCCTGGGAAGCCTCCTCTGTCATCAGTCTCTCGGCTAGCTTTGTAAAAGCCAATCTCGCTTACACAGCATGAACGCTTCTTCACAGAGCTGGAGGAAACGGGACTCGCTAGAGCTCTCCGCAGGCAGGCTGGTCCCTAGATTTGGTGAAGAAAACATCGTCCACACTTCTTCAGATCTCAGAGACGCCTGAAAGCGTGCTCTTAAAACAGTTTCTTGAAGTAAAACCAAAAAGGTCGCACTGTGCAGCTAAGTGCAGCATGTCTTTTGCTCTACTCAGGACCTGTGCCCAAGCGTACTTATGAAGCTAGGGAGGACAGACTCAGCAATATGGGCGCTTGTTTGAAGCCTACAAGAAAGTGCAGCTGGCTGTGCATTCATAGAGCATGGCTGTTCTCTAAGGCAGTGCTTCGGGTGAATCAAGAGAATAAGAAGGCCTAGTTCCATGGGTTCGTTTCCTGGTACCAATAAACGGGATTTCTGGTTTCAAAAGCAGCCTGCTTCTAAGGCCAAGCGTCATGTTGCTACTGCTTCCAAGTAGCTCTGCAGCTTACGGACGGTTGTCTCATCCAAGGAGAAGAGGTCAAAGTCAAAGGTTGTGTTGGTAACATTAAAATGCCCGGTTTCCTCAATGAGGTTTACAATCTGTACAGAAAGGAGACAAGCAAGGATGTATACAGAGACCCCATAAAGATTAAGTACAGCAGAAAGGCCAGCAGACACAGAGCAACCCATCCAGTCCTTTTCTCATCCCTTCAGAACAGCCTCAGAGATGAGAATGTCTCGCAACATTCCCATTTTTTGGGAATCCTCTCCCAAAAAAGCAAACCAGCTCCTCCTGCATGCCTGACTAGCTCAGTCTGGAAAGTGACGTGGGCAAATTTCTTTCCTCTTAAATTAGACCGAGAGTGCCCAGGTTTGGGACCGCTACCAGGATGGCAGAGGAAAGATGCACAAACCACATTTCTGTATCTTTTCCAACAAAAACGTTGCATGCACATCGATTTTTTTTTTTCCCCCCTACATATCTTTGCTTTCAAAGTGAACCAGACCCTCTCATGAAGGAGAGGCAAGTGAAAGGTCAAGCATCACAGGGGTCCGGCTGAGAACCTTGGACACAAAGATTACCAGAGTACAACAGCTTGCCAGAAAGCTGGCAAGTGATCTCTACCTGCTGTAGCACATTGCGCTCTCGTAGTGCCATTAGTCGCCTGTGAAGCTCCACTAATTCATCAGTGTAGGCCTGTAAAGGAGGCAGGAACAGAAATAGTGACATACGTGGCATGTTTGTATGACTGCCAGAGTGACCTTCCTAGTGAGGATCAGACAAACTTGAGGCCCTGTCAGACATGTTCCTATTCCCAATTTTTCCCGAAATTTCCTACTGCCTCCTCCATCCTTATCAAGTACTGGGAGACTAAAGACTTCACACAAATAGGGATGGTCTGAAGACCATCAGCAAGACTATTTAATGACACCATTAAACAAACACCTGTAACCAGCTTTAAGTGGTCAGAACCTTTGAGCTTAGAGGACCTCAACAAGGTGAAGTTCACCTTGGTGAACTTCAGTGCGAGTTCTTCATCAGCAGGTTGTACTAATAAACTGCTCATTACCTGAAAATGCCTGTATCGATGCTCAGTGACCAACACCCCAGCAGTCTGCTGAACAATGATTTGTGTTTAGGAAAGGAAAAAATCCTTTAGGTGCATTGTATTCCCAGGTACTTTTACATACACCACAATGGGAAATGCAGGATTGTTTACAAGCTCAACATTTTAATTGTTCTTATAGAAGGATGATGGGAGGTTTTTTTTGTTTGGTTTTTGGGGGGGTGGGTTTTTTTTTTTTAATTTAGGCAGCCAACAAGGCAAGTTTCTGTTGGCACACTATTGCTCACGGGGGATAGATTCTCAATCCGTAAAGCTGCCCCAGAGTTGTTCATGTCTGTGTCAGCAAAACTAAACTCATTTAAGTAATTGTACCAAGGAAAAAAAAAAAACAAACCAAAACCAAAAGAGGTGAAATATACCCCTCCCCAGCACATTCACGCAGAGAAAAGCATTTTTCCCAAAACACCTAAACAATACTGAATGCTATGCTTGCTGGGAGAGCTACTAGTATGTTTTATAAAACCTCTGACTGAGGTTTGGAAAAGCTGATGGTATTTCAGGCACTCTTCAATGGGTCTCAAGGGTGTCCCCTTCTATCTATAATAAGTAGTCTAATAAAAGATACTATTACCTACAAACCTTGCCTCAGATAAGCCATCTCAGCTATGGTTAACAGTACCTAGTGGTTGAAGATTTTGTAGCTAGCAGGAGACTCAGATGCAAGTATCTCTAGGTCACGCTTAGACCTAACATTAAGTGATTAACCTTTTCCTGTTGAAAAAGTGTTAAAACACACAAGTGAGAGCTACAGACTGATTCTTGATTACTGCAAGGACCTCAGTGATGAGACTAAGGAAAAGTATTAAGCTCCCATTTGATTGATATTTTTTTTTTTTTAAACAAAAAAAATCACAGTGGGAGAAGTTTCTGGACAACTTGGGGTTTGGCTATTTGCTTGTGAGCTAGCCATGCTTTAGGAGCACGTACACTGCTCGACTTTCCTCGGAGGCAAAAAAGAAGGGAACTTCATTGAACAAAGGTTTCAACTAAACCAGCAAAGCAGAGCATCAAACAATCTTTAATTTGTAAGATCAAAGACAGATGAAAACTGCCTTTTAATGAAGAGGCACTTGCTACTACAGCAGTAGCCAGACCACTGGTTTGGACAAAGGGCAAAAAAATAAAACAATTTTAGCATTTTGCATATGGAAACGACCTGGGGGTCCATCTATTTAATATACACAATTTCTGCAGTGTCACTCTCCAAAGTCTGTCCTTTCAACATCTGTTTTTCATTACACTCAAGCTTTTAACCTGCCAAGGCAGAACAATCTGAACAGGCTACGCTGATACAAATTGTTTTCTACATAGAAATACTAGTGAGCATTCAACAGTTCTATAATATGTAAATCCTCAAACATACCTTGTCATATGTTCCCTTCTTCAGGATCTTCTCTGGCTTGTTACAAGACTCTGGGCTTTTTCTTCCAGATGCCTGAGGGTAAAAGAAATCAACATTAGGGACCCAAATTAGTTCAGACAACATGGTGGTTTGATGGTTTGGATACACAGCACTGAACAGAGAGAAATTACCTGTCTGATGAAGACAGTGAAATAGGGAAAATCTGGTGCAAGTGAAAACTAACACCATGGACTGAACACAATGCAGGAACCAAGAGTGGTGGAAAGTAGCATTGTATGGGCATGTAGGATGCAATACCTTATTATTTGCTGGGGGCAGTTTCTGACCAGGAGGTGGCTCTCGACTTGGCAGGCAGGAATCTGCACTGTTATCACTGTCGCTGTCACTAAGGCTCAGTCTGAAAAACAAGTAGCAGAGAATTAGCATCACCAGGTAATACGAAACTTAATTAGCTGTCAACTGAACCACACAGAGTTAAGTGAAATTATCTTCTTTATTACAGACTACTAAGTTGTCTGGGAGAAATGGTCAGTCTAATTTCCAAGAATCCCCTTTTTTCCCAGCTGATGTTGCCTTTGCCATCTTCCATTCCCTGGACAGGCAGAGTGGGGAGTTTTAGTTTACACATTACAGCCAGCGACTCTTTCATACAAGAGTCCCCTTAGAACAACTGTGTAAGTACCGCCTGATTTTCACAAACGGCAACTGTTCATTTTGGGGATTCATTCCAAGATCACTGAGTACCTGCACGAGAGGCTTACCAACACCTCCACTGAGAACACAGGCAAAAAGAAAGCATTTAGTGTTTCTATTGTGACCTTTGAGATTTTCTGTTTATTCTCATTCTTCTTGTGGCCCTACAGATGTATTATAGCAGGTATCCTACTTCTGATGAGTTTGAAAAACTGTTTATTACCTATCCCCTAAGGTCTATAAAATATCCTTCAAAGTCTCTCTGTTCCTGTTTAGTTGATAATGACAGATTTTTTTTGGTTTTTGGTGAACACAAGCATCATTTGAAATTTGCAGCTGCTATATGGGCCAAGCATTTGGTTTCAAATATTCAGCCTGAAACTCCAGATTTTGGCTACAACAGCGTTTCCTGAGGGGAGAAGGATGAAATTCAACTATTTCCATTGACTAAAGCAGGAAACAGCTGTTAACCAAGTCCCGTAGGAGTCAAGTAACCAACTGTCAGCACGCACTATTGGCAGACACTGAGACTTCTCAGTTTTGTATCAGTCATATGCAGTAAGAAGAGCACACATGCTGACAGCCTCCACAACTCTTCTCTAATCTCTGCAGATCAAAGGTGTCACACACCATTCAGCTCAGCAGAGATCTGAAGATGACAATTAGGTGACTATTTTAAGGGGCTCAGTCACTAACACCTGCAAGCTCAACACACACTACTTCCCAGTGGCTTCCTCTCTTTGAGCTCCGGTGATCTCTCCTCATCCAATTCTGTTCTCACCCTGTTTTCATTGACTCTGTGTCCCCACCCCGTGCTAAGTACTCCACACATCTGCCCTTTCCCTCCTTCTCTCACACTTTCCTCTCACGCATAGCCCCATCACTTTGATTCCTCCCTCCAAATGGAGGGCACACAAAAATACCAAACATGGAGGGCAAAAAGACAACAAGCATCTTTCTTCCTGATTTGTTACCACCTGGAATCCCGGCTGACTGGGTTTGCTTTGACTGCTGCCTCTTCTCCGGAGGAGCTGTCATCATCATCTGACTCTTCTGACTGAAGATCTTCCACCATGGAGCGCAGCGGGCCTGGGATCAGAGGGGAGACAGCAATTCAACACTAGGACACGTGCAGCAGAACTCCATCTGAGCTATCTGATCTAAACTGGATTAGTCATTATTAAGATACATCAGGATTTCTCAATAAGATGTCACCGGTATTTTCATTTTGCACAAAGATATTGCTAAAAGACACCGTATTCCAGTCTCAAAACTAAAGCAGAGTTGACAAACTTTACAACTGCCGTAAAGCCACCCTAGCCTCCCCCCAAATCCTCCCACTCTCTTCTGAAATGAAAACAAAAGGACGCATTTTTCATGCGTTTGGGGACTATTTTAAATGTCACTCAAGAGACAGTATTTGTAGCAACACAGCATTTGCTAAGGTTAGAAGATTTACTGTTGCCACAGTGTATCTCTTTGGGTTATCAGTGGAGGAATCTGAAAAAGAAGCTATGTTATGCACTGGCAAAGTGATGAATATCACATTTATAATTTTTAATAAAACATATATGAGATTGGAGGAGAAATATTGTGGTGACACTATAGATCAAGCAGCAGCAAACACATTTATAAACCGAGGCAGAAACCAAAGTCAACAGGGAAAGAACCAAATCCAGAGAGATACCCTACTCATAAATTAACTGCCAAAACAAGAAAAATACTTGTTCATGATTACACTATGACATTATTGCCTTTTCTTGCTGAAGCGTCACAGCTTCAACACATGGTTGCATACAAGAAACCGTATGAGCCTTACATATGGTGCTGGGAAAACAGATCTAATTCTCATGAGCCTTTTAAGGTTATGCAAGGAAGATTTTAACAAATTTTATTTCTTGCAACACACCTTGACTGTGGTTCTGAGATGGCTCGAAATCAGAGTCAGAGCTGGAGTCGGAGCTGGAGCTGGAGTTGGAAGGGCTGGACTGGACAGACTTAACCCCCCATAAAAGGGAAAAAAAGAAAAAGAATCTTAACCTTTCTAATCTGGAAAACCAGCGCAGAGCACAAAGCACAGTGAGACAGAAGCATTTGAGCACTCTACAACATCATACATCACTGAATGCAGTTCTTGGAATTACAGAAAATAAACAAAATGCAAGATGAATAAAGCCAACATTTATGAAAACTTTGGCACGCTGTAGCTCAGCACTCCTGGGCAGTAGCATCAACAGCTCCCACCAAAGCCCTTCAGGCCACTAGTTTCAAATAGCCTCAAGTGATGAAATACAGCATTTGAAAAATGTCAAAATGAAAGAACCCTCACTTTGAAATGTGAAAGATGACTAGCATACAACCTAGAACAATTATCAAAGCCCTCTTAAAAAGTGTCTTTATTGTAACCCACCAACTTTCCCTCTGAATACCTCGTACTGATCATTAAACATGGAAAGGATGCCTATCCTAACTAGCTCACCTGACGCCAAAATTAGTTCTAAGTTATTACTGTACCCTCAAAACAGTTGTTTCTACACCATCTGAGCGATCCGCTGTACTGTTTCCAGTTTATTGTGAAAACATAAACAGAAACCAGCTAAACTCTAGTGAAACCAACTCCACTGACTGCCAGTATTCAGCAGAAATGCCAGGAGCATACTATGCAGTAAGAGTGAGCAAAAAGATATAATGAACTACTGCTAATAACAGCATCCAGAAACAAAGTTTTAGTGTTACATATGTTTTTAACATAAACCCAGAGATTGTGCAGCAATCACATGCTTTAGCTTAAAGGACCACGAGGTGGCAGTGAAGGCTAAATCAACTCTTTCATCCCCAATAGCAGCAGCGACTATTACAATAATCTTAAAGGTTTTTTTGTTACTCAGTAGGATCTAGTTTAAAGATTCTCAATGTACTGTAACATTATCTTGCCTTTTTAAAAGTAATTCCCTGGAAATTTAGCACTTCAATTTCATTGCACCATTCCTGGAAATCCACCTATTACTTCCACTACTAAATCCTGATGCTAGAAAAATCACACATTCCCATTGATCAAAAACCTTTATTACAGGAAGTGTTAATACTATAAAAACATTCTGAACAGGTAGAAAGAGGCACATCAGCAGCTTTGGACATTAATAAGTGAAAGCAGCGGCAGGACTTTCATCCCAATATCACCCTTCCCTGTAATTTATCACCCAAGTATTGTTAAGAGTTTCATTTATTCAACTGTATGGCAGCAGGGGAAAAATGTCAAAAAGGGGCACTACAACCCTTGTGAATTATGCAGTAGCAAAGGAGAATAATCTAACAAGTCCAATACCTGGTATATTGGCACACTGCAGCAGCCCTATTTGTTTAGAAAAATTACAACATGGAAGTAAAGAGCAATATTTTCAAGATAGCGGAGCACAGCTCTTGTGCCTTACCCACAGATTCAATCCTATTGTCCTTCATTCCTGATAATCTCGCAGGTGTTCCCTTAAAATGACTTAATAGGACCTAAGAAGCAGAAGTTGGAAATTGTACAGACCCCCGTCTCTCCTTTTGCCATTAACCTTATCAGCTATTTCAACTGTTTAGGAGGCACCCAGCTGGACATGCGCTGCACGCTCAGGCTGCAGTTACTGTCACCGTGATATGACAAAAGCACATGCCGACAGTGGAAAAAAGCAATCCTGCCCTCACATCTCAGCCTCTCCCTTTTGTCAGGACTAGCGTTTAGGCAGCCAAGCATGAGGCCAGTACAGGGAACTGGACTTGATGGGGAAAGGAAAAAAAAAGAGAAAGAGAAATAAAAAAAAAGGA